ATTTATATTTTATCCCTGGACTTTAAAAAGTGAAACAATAAAGAATAATATAAAGAAGTTGAGCTGTAACTCGAGGTTTCTTCAACAACGGCTACATGAGCTATAAATCTTACCTTTTTAGCTACTTTTAATGTTTAGCATTTGTTTTAGCTTTTAGCTATGGTTTTGCTAGTTTAGCTTGTGGCTACTGATAGCTATTTGTAGCTTTAAGCTAAGGTTTTAAGTTTTTAGCTATGGTTTTGCTACAAGAAACATTTAATAGTTTGGTTTCATTTAGCTTGTAGCTAATGTTTTAAAACACCTCTAATGTTTTTACTATAGCTTGGCTACATTTAGCTTGCTTAATTTATATTTTAGCAACTGTTTTGCTACATTTAGGTTATAGCTAAGATATTGTAGCATTTATCTTTTAGTCAATGTTTTGCCATTTTGTTTTTAACTGGTTTTACTAAAATGAATCTGATACATTTACATTATTGCTGATACATTTAGCTTTTAGCTAATGTTTTAAAACACTTCTCTAATGTTTTTACTATAGCTTGGCTACATTTAGCTTGCTTAATTTATATTTTAGCAACTGTTTTGCTACATTTAGGTTATAGCTAAGTTTTTGTAGCATTTATCTTTTAGTCAATGTTTTGCCATTTTGTTAACTGGTTTTACTAAAATGAATCTGATACATTTACATTATTGCTGATACATTTAGCTTTTAGCTACTGTATTGCTCATTTTATATTTTAGCTATGGTTTTGCTGCATTTAACATTTAGCTATTTAGTTTCATTTAGATTTTAGCTAATTCAAATTTATTTAGCTTTAAGCTTTGTTACATTTTGATTGCTTGATTTACCTTTTTAGCAACTGTTTTGCTACATTTAGCTCTGAGCTCAACGTTTTGCTCATGAGTGAAGTTTTTATCGGACACTTAACATTTGTTTTACTAATTTAAGCTTTTAGCTAGTGTTGCTACATTAAGCTTTTTGTTAATATATTTCTAATTTTAGCTTTAAGCTCTTGTTTTTTTGCTTTTGGCTTTTTTTTTTTTTTAATTTAACCTGCTACTTTTTTTTAACATTTGTTTTACTAATTAAATCATTTAGCTTAGCTTTTAGCTACTCTTTGGCTATATTTAGCTTTTAGCTAATTTATTTGCAAATGTTAATTTCTACTTTTAGCTATGATTTTGCTGCATTTAAATTCGAGCTACTAATTTTAGCTTTTAGCTAGCATTATAAAGGTTTAATAGCCAATTCTGATTTAGCTGTGGTTATGCTACATTTAGCTTGCTTAATTTGGCTTTTAGCTGCTGTTTTCCAAATTCTATATTGCAGTTACTGTTTTGCTACATTTGGCATTTCGCTAAAGTTTAGCTCATTTCTGCTAAAATTTAGCTTGCTGCATCTATGTTTCAGCTACTTATTTCAGCTGCTCTCTTTCTCGGTGTCGCCACAGCAACTCACGAAGACTTGGCGATTGTTTTTACGCCGGATGTCCTTCCTGACACGACAGACCACCGAGCTACCACAGCCCTCTGTGTGGAGCAGAGCTGCCATCTAGGGCGCCTCGGGGAGCAGATGGTGGGGGTTAAGAGCCTTGCTCAAGGGCCCAGAGTGGGGCAAATGAGGGTGGAGGCTTCACCTTTCCCGTCCACATTTATATATCCATCCAGGGGATTGAACCAACGACCGTCTGATCAGAGGCTCGCCTTTTCAAACCTCTGCACCACCACTCCCCACATCTAGCTTTTAGCTACCGTTTTACTGATTTTAGCTCCCGTTCTGCTTTTTAACGATTCCTTCAGCATGTGGTCGTGTTTTTGTAGAAAATGTCATTTCCAGACGGACTCCTCTCAGTTCTGCGGGGGCCCGGTTCTGATCCGGTCGTCATAAATCGGATGTTTTAGCTGCTTCTAATCCTCGCGTTTGTTCCCCTGAAATATTCAGCTGTTTGATTTCAAAGCTGGAGGCGATCGTTCCGTTCTCCACCTGTTTCTTCTCGTCTGGCAGAATCTGACCCACTTCTGCCACGTTTCTCTCCTCCAGCAGCCGAACAGCTCCTGCTGCTGCCAACTGGAACAGATCTCACCCAGTGAAGACGCAACGGGAGAGAGGAGGCAGAGTAAACGATGGTTCGGTTAAAAGATGGCAGCCGAGTGATAATGTTAGCATGTTGGATGGATGGATGGATGGAAGGATGGAAGGATGGATGGATGGATGGCTGTTCCGAGGAGTCGGCCATGAGGTGGATTTGTTGTGGAACGACCAAAGTTGAGCGTAACCACAGAAGTGTCATTTCCTGCAAAACTGCTCGTTGCTGAATGATTTAGCTGAAAGCTGCTGAAGAAGCTAAAGCTTGCCTGAAATACAAGGACGGAAAACTTATCAGGAAGAAGCTAAACGTGGCAGAGACGTGCTGAAATTGACCAAAACAAAAAAAAACCAAGTTGAGTTCAAGAAGTCTGAATTAGCAGAAAAATGCTAAAAGGGAGGAAAAAAGCTTAACGGAGCACAAACTGCTTAAATTAACAAAAAAAATAAATCAGCTGAAAGAAACACGAAAAGCTGAAATGGGCAGAAATTCCATAAATATAAACTATTAATCCCAAAATGTTGTAATCCTGGTTTCATTAGTTCTAGATGCTGCTGGCGGTGGGCAGGAAGGAGCTCCTGTAGCGGTTCATCCCACTGCGGATCTGAAGAAATTGGTCTATTGGACTTGGCGGCCCTCTCGGTCCTCCTGGGCAGCAGGACCACCTGAATGTTGGGCAGACCTTCTCGCTGAGCGATGGTCTCCTCCCAGCAGCTTGTTGAGCTCCTCATCATTGCAGACAGCCAGCTGCAGGTGTCGGGGGATGATCCTGGTCTTCTTGTCAGGAGTCGTGTCTCCCTCCAGCTCCCGGATCTCAGCAGTCAGGTACTCGACCACCTCCTCCTGGTAGACGGGGATGCATCCACGGCACCTCCTTTTCAACTCATTTCTGATTTGGGCCTGTAGTTTAGGTATTTGAGCTACGAGATGTTAATCAGCTGCTCCTGGTTAAAAAAATGAATAAAAGAAAAACTTGTTGCCATGGTTACGCATTATAACCAATGTCCAAAAGTAAAAATGTTCCAGTAAAATCCTTCCAGCTGCACAGCATCCGACACAAGAGAAAATAATCATTAAAGTGATTTATGGAAAAGAGGAATTCAAGTTTTCAAAAGCAGCATCCCAGAATGTAACAGATGCTCAAACACGCACCTTGAGCGGCGCAACTCTGGAATATAGAAGCTGAAAAGAGCAAATAAAAGCTGAAATTAGATGACAAGTAGACAAAAAGCTGAAATTGACATGAAAGGAAAAGTTAAATGTTGCTGAGAAAGAAGAAAAAAAGCTGAAATTGGCCCAAAAAAAGGAAATGAATTACAAGTAAGAAGCTGAAATGAGCTGAAAAAGGTTTTAAACAGCCGAAAGGCTTTGAAGGTCGTGAAGAGAGCTCCATTTATTTTCTGAGAAAAACATGGCCGACAAAGCTAATTGCTTCAATAGGTAAAAATTACACAAATACCAAAGTCGGAGCAGGAATGTCCTGAAGGAGCCGAACGTTTTGATACAAAAACTGCATCACGAGTACAGAAGAAAAACAAACCTCCAAAGTGAGATGATTTCAACATTCACACGTTTAAAAACAAATTATAAATTAAAACGCCTAAAACTAACGTCATTTTATGCTGAATAGTTCAGGATCACTCTCGGCTACTACCTCACCAGGTTTTAGCTCGGCCTCTGCAAACTGAGTTTGAGCCGTTCTTGTGTTGCGTCTGACGTTTTGTGACGTCCTGCGTGACCTCAAAGGAGCTGCTAGCGCTCAGAGTGCATGTTCGGGATGACTCGGCTACTACCACACTAGACTTTAGCTGGTTGTTTAGGTGGCCATCATGAATCAGGTTGACTGCTCTCAAAAGTCACTCGAGCGTTGGAGATTTGTTCTCGTCCAATAAGCGCCGCATGCTTCACACAAGTTTTACAAACTCAAACCGTTTTTCTAACGTGCACGTTTACATTTGCACAAGTAGGAATATTCTGCATGAGCAATTTGTCAATCACCAGCGGTGCTCGTGTCGGTCAACACGAGCGCGCGGGTCAGATTGTGACTTTTGAGACTTTCACTGCTCCAGATTCACAAAGGTGATGCTGCGTTCAAGGCTGATGAAAAGTTGGGACATCTGAGCCTCACCAGACTGAGTCAATGGGGAAAGACTCGTTTCTAACTTGGAGCTCAAACGCCCAAATTAAAATCTGTAATTTAATCTACACTCTGGCATCACAGGTGGCGGGTGATATGCATTCTTCCAAAGTGTGTGTGTGAGTGTTTTTATTTCAGGTTACATTGTGGGGACCAATTTTACAAAATTCATGCATTGTGGAAACCAACCGCTCTTTATGGGGACCAAAGCCAGGTCCCCATAAGGAGAAGTCTCGTTGAGGGGTTAGGTTTAGGACTAAGGTGTGATTTGTGGATGGGTTAGGGTTAAGCATGTACTAGTAATGGTTGGGTTTAGAAAATGAATGGAAGTTGATGCAAAGACCCCCAAAAGTACATTTACAAGAACGTGTGTGTGTGTGTTCCTGCAGTACTGGGTGGATCCTCCTCTGTTCTGTTTTCAGCTCTGAATATAAATATATATATACACACATATATATATATATATATATATATATATATATATATATATTATATATATATTTATATTCAGAGGAAAGAGTCAAACTCCAGAACATCAAAGACACTAGGAGGAGGAGAGACGTGCTGAAGGAGGGAGGGGTATACCCTGTATCCGGGTAATGACAGAGGAGGAGGAGGGGCGAGAGGGGGGGTGAGGAAGAACCATAGATAGAAGGAGAGAGGGGGAAGACGTGGAGCGAAGGATGGGGAGTGTGTCGGACCAGAGAGACAGAAGTGTTACTACAGATCTGCTGCTGCAGGAGGAGGAGGAGGAGGAGGAGAAGGAGGACGGGCTGGGAGCTGAGGACGATGAAGACGATGCTCTGCTCTTCAGCAGCACGCGGGACCAACTGTAATTTCTTCATCTGCTGGTCGCTGTGAAGGAGGGAACCTCCTATTATCTCTTATTTTCCCCTGTATCTGGCAACCGCTGACTCTGCTCCTCGCTGCTCCCTCTTCTCCTTTTTACCGCCTCCTTTTTGTTTTGTTCCAGAGGAGGGATTTCTCTCCTTCATCAGGGATGTTAGCGCACAGTAAGAATGCTTTCTTCTCTTGCATGCGGACCGTGGGTTTGTTAAAGGGATGCTGGAGTCAGGAGGAGGAGGAGGGGGGGAGGGGGGATGTGTGTGCAGCAGGAGGTGGGAGGAGGCGCTGCATGTTCAAGTTTACTGCATTGATGTGAAGCTCACATGGCTGGCAACGACTCTGCATGAAACGAGTCAAAGTGAGAAGGTTTGGATGCGAGGGACATTCGGGATGTTAGAGGATGTCCAGACGAGGACATGAAGACGAAGGGACTTGATTTTAAATGTTTCCCACACGCTTCATGTCCAACACGGACAGGCGTGTTCCTTTAAATAAAAACTAAAACTACAGCGGTCACTGAAAGAACTGAAAACTGACAAAAGTAATAAAAAGACAACAAAAAAAAAATCCACCAGAAATACTAAAATAATCAAAAATCAGGGAAAGATTCGTACTAATCTGTCCTCAAGGACATGTCCAACTCCGGTGTCTTCAGTCTGTAATCAGTCTGCCTGTTTAGAGGGTGAGCGGTAGTCACAGGGCTGTTTGGTGTCACGTGTGTAACACACTGAACATGCAGCGCAGGAAGCCGAGGACAGAGTTGGCTCAGAAAGACATTTATTGACGTCCTGTTGAAGGTGAAGACCACCAGACCGTCTCCAAGCAGCTGTTCCTCTGCAGCTGCTCAGATCATTCAGAAGGTCCAGAGGACTGGAGACGGCCTCCCTGGACATGTCCATAAGAGGACAACTGATGAGAAACTAAAGAGACAGATAATAAGAATGAGTCCAGATCAACTTCCAAACAGATTAGAGGTGAACTTCAAGGTCAAAGGTCATCAGGGTCTGATTGAACCGTCCGTCTTTGAGACAAAATGGACCTGATGGAAGACGACCAAGGAGGACACCCGGTCATAAAGACACACTGGAATTAGTCAAAAATGACCCAACAATGAAAGAATAGAACCCTGTTCCTACAACGGGGGAAGAGGCTCGGTTCTGTTCTGAATCTGGGTCAGAGTGTCCAGAATCTGTTCTGGGTACAATGAAATCTCAAGACAATCAACGTCTTCTGGAGCTGAATGTGTCAGGAAGTTCGGTGTCAGTCGCAGGTCATGGTCCTCCAACAGGACAATGACCCAAAACACAGCTAACAGCACCTGAGACTGGATCAGAACCAAACCTTGGACTGTTCCGAGGTGGCCTTGTGAGTCCTAATCCAAATCCTGTTGAACACTTGAGGAAGGAGCTGAAACATCTGGAGGAGGAACATTCAAACCTGAAACAGCTGGAGTTGTTTGACGAGATCACCTGAGGACAGGTGGACCAGAACAGCTGAGGACAGGTGGACCAGACCA